CTCAATCATAGGACAAAGCTGTCCATTGACGAAATTATTTTAGGGATTCAGCTATGCCTCACATCTACTATATTTAAATTCCAAGGCAAAATATATAGACAAACTGAAGGTGTAGCAATGGGATCACCAATATCCCCTACCGTAGCAGATACATTTATGGATAGCTGGGAAAATATGGCACTTAATACGTTTAATCCTACTCCAAACAAATTGGATGAACATGTAGGTAATGAATCTCTGAAGTTTATTCTGACTGATATTCAGTTACATTTGTGTAGTTCTCAGCGTTTTTTGTAAGGCTTGAAACAGAATTTATCGTCAGTTAATTATGATTGTCGTTTGAATAGGTTTATTGATGCTCAGTTAGATTAAAACACTAAATGATGATGAATAATTGAGCGGTGTGTTTGTGAATGAATCATTAACGAAAGAATTAGTTTGAAGGGGTGAGTGTAGTCAGTGGTGTGAAAGGAAAAATATGAATAATATTCAGATCAACAGTGACAAATACCATAAAGAAATAATCGAATAAGCGGGACGTGTTGGATGTAAGCTTGAGGGATGACGAATACTTTTAATAATCATAAAATGGTAATAATAATAGTCATGTGTTGGTTTGTAGGGATTTGATTGGTTCTGAGGATTTCATCGTGAGCTGAGCATTGGAAAACCTGGGAGTACTAGATAGCAGTTCCGGGCTAGTTTGGGACTCTTCAGCAGAACGCATCCGTCACCGAGGATCGAACCCGGAACCTTCTGGTTACAAGGCGAGATCGCCAACCATTAAGCCACCGGGACCCGATCAAAACGTTCATGAACAACAACTTCTACCAATTCGTGATATGGCGCGACCACTAAGCAATGTCATCGCTGGCGAGTATTTGTCCTCACACCCGCCCTGCTGTGCAATACAATAGTGTAGAATATACGCAGTTGCAATTTTAATGAATAGCTATCAAGCAGATTCATTATGTGACATATTCAGCATAGAAATTTATTTGAGAGATGGTGATAGCGATCAGTCATAATAGGTGTATAAGTGTGAGGAAAGAAAGTTGACAAGTCACTTTAGGATTGTAAAAGGTGTCAGGAGAGTGATTACTACAAAACAGTATGCATCAAAGAGGAGATAGTAAGACTACGGATTTGAGAACATTCATCAGCTTAGTTAGATTTTATCACACTTAGTGAATACAAGACATCGCATTGAAGCTAACAAAGCCACAAAATTACGAATTCATTTCCACGTACACTTCAGCTGTATCTTCGAAATACTTCTGAGGCTGTTGCAATAAGATTGACTAAACTGGAACTTACTATTTAAAAAGAAGACGTCCGGACGAGTTTTCCTACCGTGGCCAAACTTACATTAAATTTCCTTTTCCCCTACAAGGGTACCTGTTCATCTTATCGCTTTTTCTTTTGATTTGTTCATTATAATTTACTGTAATAATTATTACTATTATTCACTGTAATTTATGCCCTTCATTCTTTCAATACTATCGAAATTTCCATTTATCCTTTCGCACTTCTCATCGGTCATATTACCTCTTTTCTTTACCGAAGCCTCCACCTGTTTCATTTCACATATTGGTTTTCCAATAGTTCTCTGACAAATGTTAACTCCTGATCAGAATTGTTACCAATCGAATTGCAATGCATGCATTAACACACAACCACACAATAGGGTGGGAGAGGGTTAAAATTCTAAAAAGTAATCTAGGTAGGTGGAGAGAGAGGTTGATTACTGAATCCTTGTTCATCGAATCTACACCCAACACATGCAATAGGAATGAATCATCACTCATACCTGAAATATGGAAAATAATACTACCAATCAAATCAAGTGAAAAACAATGGAACTATATAAATGAATTTAGGAAGTCGTGTGATTACCTTGATATGATTATGAGCAATAAATTGTGCTCGAAACGTCATCAGTAAATATTACTGTATAACACTGTGAGACTCTATCAAAATAAAAATTTACCCATAATGGAATTACACTCTACCACTGTGCCCAAGTTTTTTTCTTATATTAATAACACGATCACTCACTGGCGAATATAGGTATATCCAGTTGACGAGTCCCAAATGGGACGAAATGCACGTTGTTCTGGATTCCACTGCTAGTTACCAACCACGAAATCATTTTCACATTAATTGATAACTTCACAGCCACTATCCTTTGAATATCTTTTATTCCCTTTCTCACCGTTTTTGTCAACCCTTGCTCAGTTCTATTTTACCCGCATCAAAACCTAGTTTATTCACTTCATAATCGTTATTACCACAGTGTCTACTCCACTCCCTTACAATATTAAACACTATTACTTAATTATTGGACATAATTTTAACTCACGGTTAGTAAAGGCGATTGAAAAGCTTTCAACTGACAACATGTATCCAAACTAGTGTGTAGAAAACAAGAAATCACATCCTTAGCCTAGCATGGACTATTCATACAATATCACTACTTCTTAGTATTCAAGTTCAGTTAAATGACCGAATAGCTGTGGAAATCTTTATATTATTACGGTCAAGCATGCTAGTTTAACGGAATGTAAAGAAACTACCGAGTGTTATCATCTATCAATATTTGCCTTTTGAATGTCATAGATAAAAATTTATCAAAGGGAATTACTATTTTAGTACTGCTGTTTTGACATTATTCACAATGTTTTTCATCCCTCAAGCTTACATCCAGGTATGCCCCACCCATTTGTTTGTTCATTTCTATGCAGCATTCACATAATAGCTGACACCCACTCCTTGAAACCCGTGGATTTGTTGATCACAGATTCACAAACAAGTCACTCGTTGGCTATACATGTTATGCGCACTTAAACGATATTCATGATTAGCTGACGGACATAATTAAATTTTGTACCACTTGTACCACAATACACTTGTTGATATAATTCTACCCTTCTTTTACTAACTGTTGTGAACTAACAGTGATGACTTTGTAACTGTGGAAGCTGTGGAAGGCACTGAAAACAGTAGGTTACAGGGTTTCATCATGAGCTGATATTGGTTAGAGAACCACTAGAAAACCTGGGAGTATTGGACAGTCATTTCGTCCTAGTTTGGGAATCTTCAGCTGTACCCACCGGGGTTCGGACCCAGGATCTCTTGGCTACAAGGCGAGCTTGTAGATCATTAAGCCACTTGGATCCGATCTAATGGCCAGCGCATGAATTCCAACTTCTGCCAATTCACGACATGTCGTGAATTCATGGGCATATTCCTAAATGTCTCCGTTTGAAAGGCAGCAAAGTGATCTCAAGTGCAATTGCCAGACAATTAATTGACACTTGACATACAGTGGAAATTAGTTAGTCTCTCTAAATAATCGATGCACAAATAAAGCCATGGTTACTTCGGTTTGCAGAAGCCATTGATCCAACCTCTCTTTACAGAAAGATAGTGCGACTAATCAATCTCTCACTATCCTGATGGCCAACCATAATTGTTTTGTCCCGTTGCATAACATTCCATTTAATTTTGATATTGATTTTCACTTACTGAGTTGAACGCACCACTAAGTTTTTAAATCTACTAAATTGTTTTGTTTATCTTAGAGTCTCACTTTACTATTCACCTCCCCCCTCCTGAATGTCCGTCATATATATATGTGTAAACTGAGTCTGTTTAATTCACATTTAGATTTTTCCGGTTAATAGAAACATCATCACTCACTGAGGAATGCAGGTCCATCGCAAACAGGATGAATATTGCATCCTGGATTCCACTGCTAGTCACCATCCACCAATTAACTTCTAATTAACTCTGTTATTCTATCTTTTATTTTGTCTCCAGTCCATTCTTCTTTTCAGGTGGAATCTTAACACTACTTCCTTGTTCAATTACAATATAAATAGTTATTCTTTGAACACTAGCGAATTGTCTACTTACATTATCTTTGGGGTTGTGTCGCCTATACTCTTTGTCTATAACTTGAAGTCACTGCAAGAAGTATGTTCAGAAATTTTGTAACATGTGGTCGATTCTGTTTAGGATGTATGCAGTTGAAGAGAATCTACAAAATGAAAGGAGTTCGTGTTATCCTGCAAACATGTTCGTTCTTCCTTTATTTAGACTACCAAGGGTGGCTGATTTTATGAAAGTGAAAACTGAATTAAAATCATATAATGAGTGAGATTTACGTGGGAAGTAGTATATGAATGATAAGTAAAATTTCACTGGTGAAGAAAGAAGGGATATTAACTATTCATTTCCCCAAGAAGTGAGGAACTATGTATTGCAGATAATGTTGACGATTGATTCACAGAATTTCCAAAAGACTTTAGTGAAAATGGCTTTTCCAGACAGTTTCGCAGATATTTGATTGGAGCAAAAGTAGGCGATTCCGTCGTTTCACCTCAGGTATTATTCCAAGCCCAAAGTGTTATCAAATATCTTGTTATTATTAACTTTATTTCACATTATCGATAGGCCATTTATTATCATCGTTTGTTGGAGTAACCTTTTTTCTGCTCCTTTTGATATGATGGTTGTTACACTAACGAAAATCCTAGGCTATCCACTATTAGTGAAGAACATCAACACTTCTTTTATGAGGTTTAATGTAACACCTCAACGAGACTTAAATTTTCTCTTTCCCTCGAAATTAACATCAGTTTAAAACGTATCCTAATAGGCTTAAATAAGAACGATAGAGATTATTGTCGAGTTTTAATAAACTTGATGAATTAATGACTGAATTTTTAAACTTCACAACATAATTTTAAGAATGCTCATCTCAATCTCTTCAAGTAGCCTAAATGAATCTGTCGGTGTGTTGTTTTAAATCATAATTCATATTAACAGGAAGAGAAATTTTATTAAATAGGTATATATTAGACATGTGAACATTTAAAATTTACAAGGAAAGATGGTTGTCAGTTAATATCACAAGCAGTTTAATTAAAGCAATGAGTGCATAATTAATTACAAAAACACAGGATTGTTACTGTCCATCACACAACACGCAATTTTCATCTTCTCTTATTCTGGAAAACAAGAAAAATTAGGAAATTGATAAAATCTGGGTGGATGGATATAGATATAGTATTCAACTGAAACTGCGGTGACAGATATTGTCCTTATACTACAGTTATAACAAAAGTGAACTTTAGGCGCATACCTATATTGTCTTAGTAGAAATATTCGAATGAAGATAATCATCAAGGCAAGCAACCACTCTTACGGAATACACTCTCAGATTATTCGTGTTTGTGTAAATTCATCCCATCTGACTTTATAAAATTGTGTATACCATTCGGGATTAAAACGTCCTTGTATCCTGCCCGGCTGTTAATTTGTATTTACGTATCCCTTCTTCATTTTTAACGTAGTTCTGGGTGATTCCAAAATCTTTACATTCAACTTCCAATGTAGAGAATTTTGTTTTATTGAGCAATTAAAGATATATACATATACATATACATGCCCAAACCAGGTTGACTTTTACCACTTTGCAAAAATTTAGGCATTGGGTACTTGATAGTAACAATTTTAAATGTTTCTATATTTCTCAATGAATGAAAAGCGAAACGATATTGTTGCATTCACTGACGCTTCGCTATTCAATGCCGCTGATAGCTTTATGAGAGTAGCAATACTAAACCAGAATTTACAAAATCTCAGCTTATATACAACAACCAAATCATCGTTCTTCAGCAAGAGGTAATTTATGGCTGTAAAGTTTGCGAAATGGTGAATATAACAAAATGATGTGTAGATTGTTGGATTTGATGGGCCTATAAAATTTCTAAACAAATCCGGAACACAGTTTTCAGGTCTGCATTGCTGTACTGCAACCAGATAGATGTCAGGATATAATTATGTTCTAAATGTACTTATATTTCAGTTAATTATTGTAGTAATATTGTGGCGTGTGCCACTGATAAGATTTATTACTGGTGTATACAGAGACGTTCATCGGTAAAGAAACACCAGATAGCGGAGACTTAGGTTTGAAGTCAAAGTGAGCAAATTATTCAAGGTTTCGGGAAAATATGTGAGACACGAAAAGAAGTCAACGAAACACAATGCGAAGTCCGGAAGTAGCATAACACGGAAGATCTGTGCAGCAAATGACGATTTTCAGATAAGGTGTAGATAATTTCGCTATATCACGATACCAAAATTACAAGTAGACATTCCGTCACCAAGCCTCTTGTCTTCTACCGTCACAGTAGTAGTAGTTACACAGCCACTGGGCCGATTTTATCATGTCAGAATCAAAAATACAAAATGACTTCCACTAATGTCTTCTAAATGTTTACCTTCTAAATGTCAAACTCCAGCCAACTTTGACACACACACACACAAAATCTGTCAAGATCAGTTCTTGTTAAATCTACTCACAGTTTTTCACAGTCAACGAGAAGACTTTCCTCTCAGTGAAGCGTGAAGATGAGTGCTTCCCATCACAAAAAGAGAACTAGACATAGTATAATATAATAGTATAATTTCCCATGTAAATGTTTCTTACTCCACAAACTTCATTTGGTGGTGGACAGATAGCCTCCCCAGTAATCTGCTTCGTTTGAATTCTTGCCACACCTGATTGACAGGGGAACGGTTGTCCACCGACAACTACTTTGAGACCACCAGAACAAGAAATCTGTAAATGCGTTAAACAAAAATTAAGAGAAAATTATCCACTTTTCTGATTTATCACACATATAAATACTCCGTCAGGAGGTAAGTGTAAGTGTAAGTGCTCAACAGAGCAAAGTAGATCACTAATAATAAATTTTAATGATAATAATAGCTTTATTCTGAGCAATATGTTCACATACAGTACAGAGTTTTCAACTTGGTATTATCTACTGCCTAAATAGAATCTTCAAGTAAATCACTAATCTACATTATACGGTTAGAAGGAATTTTGTTTTTCGCTCCAACATGATCCGACTCCTGACATATTTTGTCACTTCAAGACAAACCAAGTGGTATGTTGAAGGCCATTCATGTGTGTGCAGATTCTTCTTCAAGTAATGAGTAGATAGACGATCAATACAAAGTATAACTGAGAACGGTTGACACATTCTGCTCTGTAGATGATTAGATAGCCCAGTAATTTAAGCAGCCTGTCATTTTATCCACTACATACAATAATCTCATAGCACTTCACAGGTAATAACGACCGACTGCGATGAAATCTTGTGTCTTTGAGCTTATAATAGAATATCATTGGTTCCTGTCTGACTACAAAATATCACCATATTAGGGCTGCATTCTTCAAAACATACCTGATGACAAGTGGCTTTGACTCGAGCATCTCTTGAAACCAACCCATTCATTCTGGCTTCCCAAGCTCCTTTATGCCGAATACACACTGAATTATTGCCGAAATCTTGACCGAACATATTTCCTCTTTGAGCTGAAAAGAAAACACAATATAAGTGAATTTATTATACATGAACTCTGATTAGTGATATTAATTTCGAACTCATAAGTTATTAAAATTCTAAAAGTAATTCACTTTCATCATATGAAAGCTTCCTCTACAGTATTAAGTGGTTAGACGCATGACAACAAATTTAAGTTGAAAGTATTTACCCTACGATTTCGAAAGAAATCCACAAGAAGCAATAATCTAATCTAACGAAAACATTTATTTTACTAAGGCAAAGAATCCTGACTAAGAAGTGGACGCCTTGCAGTCACATGGAATGAAATTCTAGTCACCAGTTGTGATATTTCCTAAGGACAGAAGAGAAGAGGATATTCTCTTTAGTTTTGAGGAGGTTCAGGTGAAACTTTCACTGAGTGTTTGATAAAAGCAGCCAAACTGTCTGAATATTATTCATATCAAATAAATATGCAACCTCGATACAGGTATTTTGTAGGTGTATTCATGAATGCAGATGCTTTATCTAAGAAACAGAAATGCATTTCACCTCAGTCATGACAGCGATACGAATATACGCCTGAAATGCATGATACAGTAGATGCTGCTTACTCAAAGTGAAGATTTGGCAGTCTCTTGTAAAAGAAATATGCATGCTGAGCAATTTCAGCATGCAGACTGCATAAGACACACATTTCATTGTCTTCCTTAAACCATTTCAGAATAATTCTGTTCTAAATCTAGTTCATAAATCACAATATCTCTGTACTTGAATGATTTATCAACGCGTCGAATACTGTCAGGCAGTTTCGTCTGAGAACACTGAAAATACAGTAAATATGCATATTCCGGAATCATAGTGGAAATAGTTTTCAGTGGGATTGATTGAATAACGCCTTAGGATGTATTCCCTCCTTATTTATTATGAATTATTAACCACTCTTTCATCCTACATCAAAATGAGCTAAAAACAGAACTTACTGAGGCGAACTGATCTGGTATGGGATGTTCGTAGCATTTCGCTTGAGGTTTACACTTGTCTTTGCAAAACTTTCTGCCTGAAACTGGTTCCGTGTAGATATACGGTTCGACACATCCTCTATTGAAAAAGAATTCAAATACATACATACATTTATGCTTCGAGGAATCAAGTTTACATTGAAAGAAAACCAGTTTAAGTGTTCTTGTGATAATTTAGAAGAAAAATATACAGTGTTTGAAGCCAGTGAGGATTGTTTCTTCAGGCGCGTGTGTGTTTGCATATTTTCGGTATACTTGCTCGCATTCATCAGATTCCGAAGAGGATGTAACTTTGGTCCCAAGTCCTACAAACAAGTAACATTTAGTTCTTAACACTAGTAATATTGAGGTGCCTGCTCAAGTAGCCCATGTACGAAGATGAAGCTGACCAGTGTGGTCAGCTATATCATCGCAAAGTCACAAAAGTCAATGCATAATTTCAAATAACACCAGTTGCACAAAAAGCGTTTCTCACGACCCAATGGCTTGGTGGATAGATCTATGGCGTTTGAAGTGACTTGTACTTGGTTCGAGTCTCAGAGCGAACACTGTCACCCACTGGGGAGCAGGTAACAAATCATAACCACCAACCCCTACAGCATTTCTCTGAACTAAGAAGCAGACAACTAAAATAGACATTCGCTGACCATCCTACCATTAAGCGAATTCTCAGAAGTGAGAATTCATGGGCAATCGGCAGAATGGCATACCAGTTCGCCTCATAACCTGAAGCTCCTCGGCTGGATACCTCGCGGATACTTGGGTGAGTGCTGTTGGGGAGACTCAGAAACAAACAGGAAGCAGCTGCTCACTACTCTCCGGTTTTCAATGCTTCTCTAACTAAAGACTCTTTGTGAGCAATATTATATTCTGTATTCTCTGCTATAAATCAGAATCAAAACTGGGGAAATTGAGAATTGAATGTGTAGTTAAAATATCCATTCAGTTCAGAATACAGGGTTATTGCCTACCTACCGTTGAACTAGGAGTTTTCTGTTTGGTGGTTTCCGTACACTCAGTGCTCTCGACCAGAAATTAAGCGCCTTCTCCACCACTTCAGTCTACAAGATAAAACAGACAGATGATCATATCAATGAGAGCGTTTTGTTAAGTTTCATCGTTATAATTGTTTATCGCATTTTCATCAACTGAAAAGAATACAGATTGCACGGGTAGGCGTCTTGTGAGAAGCTTCATACATACACTTATTCCTTTTCATGAATCTGAATCAGGAGAATAATTATGATGAGAGCGTTGGTGAGAGCGTTTACAGTGCAACTACTTAACCGGTTTCATGGATAAACAGAAAACCAAGATGCAATGTTCTGTGGAGTGAATATCAATCATTTCTGAATGTGAAAGTGTTGTGTGAGATGATGTTACTTGGCTCAGAGTCCATCGTAGCCTTCTATTTACTAACCCGAATGCGAATTTAGGATTGTCCCACGTTGTTGTTGTTTCATAGGCTGCATTCTATTAGCAAAGACATTTGTTACACTCACGGAGAATTCTAAAAGCTCATTCCATATTGTAGTCCGCGTTGAATATGTTACCCAGAAAGACAATGAGGTATGAGCGGAAACGTTATCCAGGTGAGACATCACATTTCCACAATACGATATTCGGTATCCGCCGATCGTGACAGTTAAAAGTGAAAGATGTTCTCAGGGTCGGAATAGCTATCGTAATTATGCCTGAACAAATGCTAGGCAGAATTCTATAGTAGACATTTGCACTGCTTCGAATTCAGTTTCACTCTAACCATCTTCTGCATCAGGAGATATCAGTGATCATCAATTGTGAAATTGCCAAGTTCGGAAGAAATGAAAAAGCTGCTTTGTAAATTGAGGGAGCCGGATCGCTCATGCGTCCATGGTTCAGTGATAGAATGCTCGTCAACCAGGTGCGTGGCTCAGAGTTTATTCCTGGACCGATGGAATCCCAAATCTCGCTTTGATGGCGACGTGAGACTAGCAAACTCTCCCGTGAAAAAGAATAACACCAGTGCTACTGAAAATCCAAAGCTGGAAGCCTGAAAACCAATACACTACACAAAAGAATAAAATGAATAATCAACCGTAGAAAATTGGCAAGTGCATCCATGGCAGTAGAATGGCGAGAACCGAGTTCTCAATAAATACACACATGTGCCATTGTAAAATCAGTTCTGCACACGAAAATGTCCTAAGAAAATGAAGACGATTAAGAGCATCTTGTAGGCAGAATGAATGAATTCTACTCAGCTTAGGCAAACAACTTATCGATCAATACTGCTTCATTTTGCAAGTATTCACAACAAAAATCTCCGACACTGTATGACTGATCAAAGGTATAATGCAATTTCAAGAAATCAGTTTTAAAGGAGAATAGAAACATCAGGAAAATGAGGGATTGCAAAAGAAACAAACAACAATTTTACAGATCTCAAATAATCAGAGTTACCTTGAATCGACCAAATAGTGGATGTCTCTGCATACTTTGAGTGTATAGGATGATAAATTTCAGTGCATTGCCACCACTTTGACGTTTGTCGACTGTTTTGCCTAAAACACCATAGTTCTGAAGAGAATGTGAGTTGCTCTTCAACAAAGAACTCCGCTCTTACCATAGTTATATTCGGCATAATCTCACAGACATATTCACATTGCACGACTACAGCCAGAGCAGCGATGATGCATAGCGACAAGAGAATATTCTTTGGACTCTGTGACATCTTGGTAATGGGTAATGGTAATTGGAATACAATACTCAAGTATTGCTGCTTGGTTAACTATCATTTCGTCTACTCCTTTATATACTAAAATTGTTGCAGCCTCAATCTATAAACATGCAACTCATTTCATGAATGGAATAGAAATTATGTCAAAACAATACGTTTCTCGGAGTTAGTTAGTTGAGTGACCTGGCTTGAAACTGTAAAATGAGAAAATGGCACCATTTGGAGTAGAGCATTTTCGCCTGTAAATCAAATATACCTGCTGTTATCTGATAGAAAATCTTGTGGACCTTCTCCAACTGTGCTGTTCAAAATTTGTCACAGCGGATTCAACACATCCACCTCCTACCTTCATCTGAACCTTTCAACTTTATCAATATGGGTGTGTGATTATTTCACTACTGCTAATCACTTCAAGATTTGTACTTTATCATCAATGGCGCTGTTTGCGCTTTTGTTTTTGGTTTATTGTCCTCGGATGTTTTGTCTTCTATGATTCAAATTGTTTGGAAGTATTGGCAGCTGGTACAAATATCGAAGACAATTTCACGGTGAATTTCACCTTCACGAAGTCTGTTTCATAAGAACGCCTCAAAAACAAATTGGTGAATCACGAACTTTGTGAACTCCGGTTTTTGTACACAGAAATCTGCATGATATGCCGTGATAGAATGGTCACGGTGGTGTATGTACATAGAAAGTAACACTTTTAAGTGGCCAATAATGTTTGGAATTTCTCCTTAATCTCTTTGCGTTCCGAGTGCAATGTATGACTTCACATTTGAGTCTTGGAGTTGCAGTAATGCTTATATTGTTAACGATTGCGCCTCAGTGAGTTGTTGTGGAAGATTCCATCAATGAACCACCGGCGCGTAGAAGATTTGGTCTTAAATATAAATACGTAGAGCACAGGTTGGTTATCACTGTCACTTTCTCTAACTCGTATACCCAACTGAATATTATTCATCTAGTCACTCGCGTAAACACTCAGCCGGCGGGATGCTCTGAACTATTGTGAATTTCTAACTAATAACAGGTGGTTGAGACTTCGATTTCTCCGTTTGAGCCATTCGTCAACACGGCCTATTTGCAACCACGAAGACAGTGGTGGAAACAACTGCGAGTCCTGAATGGCGATCGACTCCAACAACCAACCACTAGTTATTTATCAAACATCTACTGTAGGATGTAAAACTGTATAACACTGACTGACTGACTGAGATAAATCGTTGTACACTGCTCACATCAACCAGTGGTGCTTGACAGCCAGATGGGAGTGAACTAAACACCTGATGGCTGTTCGTTTCCACCGGAGCCGAGCTAATCAATGTGAGAAATGAAAGACTGATTTACGGTATTACGAGTTCACCCAACTAGGTAGCCAGGAATCTGGTGGTTTCGACTGATTCGACTCTCTCATTTGAGTCACACTAGGTACACCACTATTGAGCTCGGTACCAAGAGAGTGAAAATGCCTTCTGGTGCACAGATCACTTCGAACTGACTAGCAAGCATGACTGGTTGACATGAGTGGTATACAATTACCCACCTCAGCCGACCAGTAGTATGTAGTTTTATAGATGTCAAATAAAGCTGACTCCCATGCACATCATTTCGAGTTCTTCGCTTCCTACATTTGCATGTTACATTCTGATGCTCAGCACGATACAATAAGTAATTCAAGACGGGACGTTTTCACATTTGAACATCAAAGATTTGAACTGAGTGTTGATTTGGTGTGATAGCTACTTGGAAGTGAGGATAGTAGGACAGGAAGACTATTCAATCGCTTCTGGTTTTGGATAATCCCTGAATTGTTTGTTATATTAGTGATGGAGTACTTTTGATACAGTGTGGACTTCTCACAGTATACTACCATATTGCACATGACTTTCGCTTTAGATTTCATAAATATGTCCAAGTGTCTCTCCACAACAACATTAACGAATTAGCTTAAAGGCATACTACTCGTCCTAGGTGCTGCTTTTAGTACCCTTGGCAATATAAGAAAAAGCTTTTTCATTCTCTCTATGGGAATTATTAAGCTAAAGTTTATTTGAAACAAATATACCATTACATATCAATTGAGGCGTGTTGGTATTTGCAATAAATTAAATGTGGAGTTTGTTACTTCTTGTTTCTTGTTCAACACTGTTTTGTTGTGTACTACCTTACTAGGTTACAAATTCTCTTCAGAGTAAATGTGTCTCGAAAAATTGATTTTCTTATGTCTACAGACAACTACAAGCAGTAATGGACAACTTCGCAAATAGCGATATCAAAATCCTGATGGGTGATATGAATGCGAAACTGGGAGGAGACAATACAGGAAAAGAATTCAACATGGGTCGTGAGGCCCTCGGTGAAATGAACGACAATGGTGAACTCTTCTCAGACTTCTGCGCCTTCAATGATTTGGTGATTGGTGGCACTGTGTTCAAACACAGGGATATACACAAGGCGACATGGATTTCACCAGATGGACACACCAAAAACCAGATAGACTTCATTTCAATCTCAGGGAAGTGGAGACGGAGCCTACTGGACACAAGATCGAGGAGAGGAGCAGATGTGGGTTCAGACCACTATCTAGTACAAGGGACTTTCAAGGTGAAGCTAAAAGACTCGAGGATAGCTGGGGATAGGCCACAATGCAAGTTCAACACGCAAAAACTGAAGGACACAACCACAAAGGACACTTTCACTGCAACTGTCAGAGCAAAGAAGGAAACACTACGTGGCATCACTGAGGAATCATCCGTGGAAGACCATTGGAACTCTCTGAAGGTAATTTTCAACGAAACGTGTTCAACGGTTTTAGGAAGAAAGAAGAGACAAGATAAGGAATGGCTCTCAACGGACACTTGGAAGCTAATAGAGGAGAGGAGAATGGTGAAAGAGAAAATGATTCAATGCAAAGACGGACAAGAGAAAGAGACGCTGAGTTCAACTTACACAGCACTGGACAAAGAAGTGAAGAAGAGTGCCAGGAAGGACAAAAGACAATTCTACGACAACCTGGCTACTGAAGCTGAGAAGGCGGCAGGCAAAAGGGACCTGAGGACACTATATCAGATAACCAAGTCTCTATCCGGGAAGAGATCAACACAAGTGAAACCTATAAAAGACAGTCAAGGGAACCCAATTACCAAAGAAGAAAGACAGATTAAACAATGGGCGGACCACTTCAAAGGACTCTTGAACCGACCACCACCTACAACCCGTCCAGAAATACCAAAAACAGCACGTACACAACTGCAAGTTGACACCAATCCTCCAACGAAAACTGAAGTCTTGAATGCAATCAAGCTTCTGAAAGCTGGAAAAGCAGCTGGACCAGATGGA